TGCGCGCCGCGCTGCGGGCCGGGCGTCGAGGTGTTCTGGTCGCGGCGCGACAAGGACTTCGCGCTCGTCTGGATGGCCGTGTGGTCGGCGCTCTGCTTCTTCTCCACCGCCTTCACCGTGCTCACCTTCCTGCTGGAGCCTCACCGGTTCCAGTACCCCGAGCGGCCCATCATCTTCCTGTCCATGTGCTACAACGTCTACTCGCTGGCCTTCCTCATCCGCGCCGTGGCCGGCGCCCAGAGCGTGGCCTGCGACCAGGAGGCAGGCGCGCTGTACGTGATCCAGGAGGGCCTGGAGAACACGGGCTGCACGCTCGTCTTCCTGTTGCTCTACTACTTCGGCATGGCCAGCTCGCTGTGGTGGGTGGTCCTGACCCTCACCTGGTTCCTGGCGGCCGGCAAGAAATGGGGCCACGAGGCCATCGAGGCCCATGGCAGCTACTTCCACCTTGCGGCCTGGGGGCTGCCCGCCCTCAAGACCATCGTCATCCTGACCCTGCGCAAGGTGGCCGGGGACGAGCTGACCGGGCTGTGCTACGTGGCCAGCATGGACGCGGCGGCGCTCACGGGCTTCGTGCTGGTGCCTCTCTCCTGCTACCTGGTGCTCGGCACCAGCTTCCTCCTGACGGGCTTCGTGGCCCTCTTCCACATCCGCAAGATCATGAAGACGGGGGGCACCAACACCGAGAAGCTGGAGAAGCTCATGGTCAAGATCGGCGTCTTCTCCATCCTCTACACGGTGCCCGCCACCTGCGTCATCGTGTGCTACGTCTACGAGCGCCTCAACATGGACTTCTGGCGCCTGCGCGCCACGGAGCAGCAGTGCAGGGCGGCGGCCGTGCCCGGAGGCCGCAGGGACTGCTCGCTGCAAGGGGGCTCAGTGCCCACCGTGGCGGTCTTTATGCTCAAGATCCTCATGTCGCTCGTGGTGGGCATCACCAGTGGCGTGTGGGTGTGGAGCTCCAAGACTTTCCAGAGCTGGCAGAGCCTGTGCCACCGCAAGATGGCTGCCGGCCGCGCGCGGGCCAAGGCCTGCCGGACACCCGGGGGCTACGGCCGGGGCCCCCACTGCCACTACAAGGCCCCCACTGTGGTCTTGCACATGACTAAGACGGACCCCTCTCTGGAAAACCCCACGCACCTCTAGGGACAGGCCTGGGGCGGCAGCGGCGGCGGCCCCCCTATCAGCCCTCCCCCTCCCGAAGGGACAGCTGGCTAGCAGCTGCCCAGCTGTCAAGGTCAGGCAAGTGGGCGCCAAGGACCGGAGCACCAGGGCAGCGGGGGCGCCTTCAACCCCTCGCTTGTCAGGGTCCACGGGGGCTCGCGGCCCTCACCCCCACGGAGCCCTGCAAGGTGCTGGGAGGGGCTGGGGACAGGGAGGGTGGCGGGGACACGAGCCAGCAGGGCGTTTATTTAATGATGTAATTTATTGTTGAGTTTCTCTGGAAGCTGGGACTGGAATAAACCCCCAAGTGGTACGACCGAGTCCTCTCGGGCAGCGGAAGGGGCAAGGTGGAGGGCGGCGGGGATCCGGAGGCGTGGCCCGGTGAGCAGAGCTGGGTTGAGACTGGGCTCCCCTGGGAGCGGGGGTCCAGGGGATGGAGGTTCCCACTCACACACACACCCCTTTCTGGCTCTCACCAATCGGGAGGCAGCCCCCTGCCCCCAGCTGTGTGGTGCAGTGGGGGCGTGGGTGGATGAGTGCGCTCCTGATAGGTCAGAGTGTTGGTCTGAGGCCTGAACCTTGTGCCCCACGGAGTGGCCGGGATGCCAGGGGACCCCCAACTCTGCCCCCAGGACGTTTAACTGTTTGTTGGAGGAGGGGGTGGGCGAGATACGTGTTTCCTCTTTCCAGACAGACTTACTTGCCTGATTGGCATATTAAGTGAGGGTGTCCTGGGCTCCGGGGTGTCTGCGGTACCTGCTCCGGCTGCCCCCTACAGGCGCGTCGGTGGCGGTGCAATCCCGTGCTGGGGGGCTGAGGCTGGAGGCTCCGATCAATTGGCCTCTACAATCACTGTTGTGTCCCCCCACCCCATCCTCAGAGCCGCTGTCAGGGCACCAGCTCATGTCTCTGGGGCAGATGGGGGAGCAGTGGAGATGGGTCTGGCACGTGGGTATCTCGGCACAGACACAAAGTAGGAGTTAGGATTCCAGCACATGCCCAAAGGAAGGGGACCAGTGGAGCAAGGCGTGAAGTGGCAACATGGGTGTTCAGGTGCCCAGGGTCGGGAAGGTGCCATGTCTCTTGAGTGTGTGCAGGAACACCCAGGGCCGCTGAGACCTGCCCTGTTCCTTGTTAGGTGTCCCAAGGCCCCCCACCAGCTTAGCGTCAGCCCCCTGGGATCCACCTTGGTCCCAGTGCTGCCAGCCCCCGTGAGGGCCTTGATTTCTGTCCCTGGGTGCCAGCACTCATTGTCATGGCCAGGAAGCTCCAAGAGCCCAGCCCCCTCCCTGCCAACCTCACTGTAGAAGGAAATGAAGGCCTTACTGATGGGAAGGAAGGGGGTACTGTGCCCTAGACCTGATAGGAGTGGGGCTGAGCCAGAATCCCCTGCCTGTCCCCCACTGCCAGTCCCAGAACAGGTGGGATCACATTCCCTCCATCTGGATGGGGGGAGGGGGGCGGTAATGACACAGGGCCGGCTGGTGATCCCTGCACCCATCGTAGCCATTTCTCCCATCCTTGCTCATGAGCAGTGACTCCATGGGGTCCTCATACCCTGCGTCCCGAGGGAGAGGGTGCAGGCCGACTTCCCGGAATGAGCAGTGGGCACAGTGGCCGCAGGAGCTGGGCTGCAGGCCACAGTGATGGGAGGATGAAGGGACAAGGGCCTGTGGCTGGACCAGGAGGTGGGTGGACAGTGTATGGGCAGAGGTTGGTAGGAAGGAGCTCTGTGGTTCCGGTTCACGCTCCTGGGCCAGTGCACCGGGGTGCTGGACAAGCCGGTGGGAGATCCCCAGGGGGATCTGCCTCCAAAGACATTCTGGGAAAGTCTGGAGGAGTCCAGAAAAGTCTTGAAAGTGGGCATGGCTGCCCTGTTGTTATAAGGCCCTTCCCCAGGCTCCTCCTGGCGGGCCCTCTCATCCTGGGAAGGCACAGGGCTGGAGAGGGCTCGGCAGGCCCAAGGCTGCACAGCCAGTGCCCTCAAACTGGCTTTTAAACCTCTCTGGACCTCCCTGTAGGAGCCCTGTGGCGTGGTGCTAACTGAAATGTCAGCAACCCGAGACCACCTGCAGCCGCTCTGCAGGGTGATGGGGCTTCCTTCCTGCCCCTGAGCCAGAAGGGGAGAAAAATATGGTTTCTACGCCAATAAAGATTTCCTGTCCCACGGGGACAGTTCTACCCTGTCCTGTAGGGTCGCTGTGTCAGAATCAACTCAGTAACAGTGAGTTTTTGTTTTGTTTTATATTTGAACCTCACTTCTATCTAAATTCGGGGGGGGGGTGTGTTAAATCACCATTTGAAGCATCTCATTGAAAGGGGAGGGAACATTTTGAAGGCTTCAGTGGGGATCCTTCAGGGATTTAATTTGGGGGAAATGGGTGACATTGACAAAACTTGTATTTCCCCCGCAGAGCTAGGACTTGAACCTGAGTCCTAACCACTGGGTTAAAGGATTCCTGTCCTCTCCTAGTTTCATTCCAAATGTTGTCTCCTCCAGGTTTTTATAACCTAGGGAGGATCTAGCTAAAGAAATGGCAAAGTGTGGGGTGGGGGTGGGGGCTGCTGAGGGTGTACCGGAGTAGACAAAAGCCCCCCTCCACAACGGAATCTTGTCCTTATAAAGGAAAATTCAAAAGCCATATAGAAAAAAAAAAGGGGGTGGGGGAGCTAAAAACACTCAGAAACCAACACCTGCTGGCAGGTACATTGCCGGACACTTTGGTGCTCCCATGTCTGGGTCTGCTAAGTGCAGCATGTACGCACGTACACACACACATGCACATAGTACACACACGCACACACCGCCTGTGTATGTTAAGGGCCTTGAGTTAACAGAACTCAGCCTTGACCTCATAAACTCAAACCAGACAGCAATCCTATATAGGGCGTTCAACGTTATACATTGTTACCAGAGCAGACAGCTTCATGTTTCTCCCTCTCCCAAGGGGGGCAGATGCTGGCTTTGAACTGCCAACCTTATCATTAGTAGCCCAATGTCAACTCACCAGGAACCCCTTCTAGTCAGTTTCCACGGACACAATTCAAGTTTACAGACGTCAGCAGGGCCAATGGTGGGCAAAGGCAGAGTTGGGGGTGTGTGTAGGGGGGGAGTAGGTTTGATAATCAGTAGCTACTAGTCCCGACAGGAGGAAATCATGGACAGGATTAGGATATAGTCCCTAGGCAAGGTCACAGGGCCCAACAAGCACCCTCCTGTGAGCCTAAGGGCCCACCCCACCTCAGGAACAGGACTTGACCTAAGTGGGCCAGGAAATGGTAGCGGGCTCCCTCCCACCATGCCTATCTCGTCAAATGCCAGTTTGAAACTGGACAAGCAATTCGTGCTGGCTGTCATGCCCGAGCTAAACAGATGCACAGAATCTTCTCCCAAGCACTGTACTCAGAGGCTGGCAATCTGCGGTGGCCAGCAAACCAAAAATGCGCATCACCATGGAATCGATTTTGACACCTAGCAACCTTATAGGGCAGGGTAGAGCTGCCCGTGAATTCTGAGACTGTCAACTCTTTACAGTAGAAAGCCTCATCTTTCTCCTGTGGAGCGGCTGTTGGATTCGAACTGCTGACCTTGCCATTAGCAGCTCCACAGGTATGTAATCCTCTATAACCACCGGGCTCCTGGATGAAGGCCCAATTACACTACCTTGCAGCTTATCTCCAGCTGACACGGTTTAATAAAGGGGCTCAAATTCACTGCCATTCTTAAGTCAACTCCAAGTCATAGCCAAGTGGTAGAGCTCCAGTTGGTTTCCCAGAGTAGAAAGCTCATCTTTCTCTGGAGAAGACTGGGGTCAAATTGCTAAGCAGCTCAGTGCATAGCCCACCACACTACCAAGGAATACTCAGTGTAGAGGGGCATGGAAATGATGGGGACAGGGTATCTGTGTGTTAAGGACAAGGCTGCGCAGCCCCCGGATTGAGATGTTTTCTCTCCAGGGTCCAGGTAATAGATAGGTGTCACCCCACCTAAGGGAACCTCCAGGCTTTGAGCCAACTGAGACAGTGGTTAATTCACTTCCTCCTTCCCCTGGTCAAGTTCAGGCAAAAGTTGGTTACAGTAGTTGCTCAGGATGAATTCTTATAGGCCTCGACAACTGGACTTTGGTCCACACGGGCCTGGGTGGGACCCGGGCTCATCAAGGCCAAGAAGTGAGTCAGGGGCAGAGCCTCCACCATGGTCTTGCTTACAGCTGACCTGCTGCTGCTGCTCCCCGGTCCTGGGATCACAGCAGAGGCTCCTGGAGGCAGCACCCGCTGTTTAAGAAAAGCACCCAGCACAGAACATGAAGGCATGTATGAGACAAGGCTGACCCTGTGGTGGCAGAGTTGCAGCCAAGCACATGGAAATTCATGCTTCTGGCTGTTCCGTTCTGTTTTCAATGTTTCTTGAAATAACTTTAGTAAATGTCAGGCGTTTCCCCCAAACCAACCACCTGAAGGCTAACATAAACCCCTACTGAAGACTTCAAACACCCCACCCCACCCCCCAATGCTTAGAAGTTCCAGATGGATTTTGTCCGGGGGTTTAGACAGACGCAAAGTCAGGCTTCTGCCACGTTGGAAAGGCCGCCCGTGGCGGAAGAAGCTGAGCTCCAGTTAAATGCTGGGGGTGGAGGTGAAGGGGTGTCCTCAGTCCGCAGGCCAGGCCTTTGCAGGCTGCACTCCCCACTCCCAACCACCACCCCCTCCCACCAGCACAAAGAAAGATTTGCCAGAATGATGTTCTTTATAAACACAAGTACATGATGTTTATTTGAAATTCCAATTTATTACAAGTTCACCCTTTAAATGGGACCCCTTCCTCCTTAAAGACGATAAATCAACATCTGGATGTAACTGAAGCAGGAGAGCAGTCTCACAGTGGGCGCGCATGGAGTCCAAGCAGGAGCGGCTGGCGTGGGGAGGCTGGCCCTGCCCTGTCAGTACGAACTCAGAGCCCAGCCTGTGGGGAAGGGTCTGCCCCGTGCCCATGGCAGCCCTGGGGGAGGAGGGCGGACACAGCGACTGACAAGGTCCGTGCAAATGGGTTCCAGAGGCTCTCATTTCCCAGCTCTCGGCAGTGCCGTCCCTCGGCACTTCTCTGGCTTTCAAGTAAATAGTTACACAAGAGCTTCGGCACTCAGATAATCAAAACTTCGTTGATAGAAAAGAAAATTAAACCCTGTTTTGTATTTTTTATCAAAATCGGACATAAAAGGGAAAGACTACAAAGTGTTGCCTAAATGTCATCCCCAGGGCCAGCCCTCCTGTGGGCGGGGTCCAGGCAGGACCTCACCCCCACTCCCAGGTGCGCAGGGGGTTCCAGAGACTGTGGAAGGGGCGGAGCCAACCACTGTGGCAGGGATGGGTGGCGCCCCCTTCCCTACCTTGATGAGCCTCCAGCCCCATTTCCTGGCAGGTCCAAGGCTGGGCGGGGGAGCAGGGGACAGTAAAGCAAACACATCATCATAGAAATTGTACTGTACATGTGCCAAAGCAAGGTGACAGGAACTTTACAAGATGTTCTTTATACAAGAGCACTGCGGAAACAAGCCACTTTTAATAACTAGAAAAGTCCATTTAAAAAATTAAACATTTCGCGCCTTCCTGCTTTTCATCTGTTCCCCCAAGAGCTTGCCTGGCACGTGGGTGGGCTGAGCTCCAACACCCGCCGGCCAGATCCCCCAAGTCCAGCTTCTGTGCATGATTCTAAGCAGGACGCCAGTCTCTCCGTGAAGTGCCTTCGTTTGTTTGTTTTTTTCTTTTTTTCTTTTCTGGAGGGGGTGGGGTGAGGAGGGGTGGAGAGGAGTTGTTACAAAGGAAGTGGGGGTTTGGGGAGGGTTATGAATGGCTCCAGGAAACAACCCTTCACTCTGCCAAGCTCAGCTCAAAAACTCGGAAGGTTTCAGGATGCTGGTGAAGAGTTCTGATTGGCACACTCACGGCTACGTCACCTGAGGGAAGGGGAGACAGAGGACAGGCTTAAGGCCAGGAATGGACACAAACATCACTGACTATACCACCACCAGTTCCCCAGGGGCCTGTGACACCCCACAGTCCCTTCCCTGGAAGCCAGGGACCTGTCCCTCTTCTGGCAGCCTAGTGGGAGGGACCTGTTCCTTAGGGAGAAGAAAGGAGAAGCAACTGGGTTCCCACAGAAAGTGTGACCCAGACATCTTTCCTGAAAACACAGGAGCAGGGCGAAGGGCCTATTTTGCCCATCAGCTTACTGTGCAGAGACCAGCAGCCTAATAGGAGACGCCACAGAGACCTCTGCTTGAAGGCGGACCCCTCAGCGATGTCTCCCTCACCCTCAGCTCCCTTACCAGGCCCTGCCTCTCTACTTCCTCTGTCTTCGTCCCCTGGACTGACCAACAGGCTCTGGCTCACTGTCCCCTTCGTCGTCAGGGAGCCGGTCAGGAAACTTCTTGCGTTTCCGGCGTACATACGCGTGGCCTGGAAGGTGTTTATGTAGCAGGGCCACCAGACACTGTTCCGTCTTTGCCATGCAACTGAGAACGGGGCTGCCGCGACAGTTGTACAGCTCCGCGTTGGCAAACACTTGCTTCACATCGGTGAGGAACTCCTGCACGGAGCGGTAGCTCCCACAGGAGCACTTGTTCTGCATGGTCTGAAGGTCCATGGGGTGGGTGACCACATCGTAGTAGTCCTCGGCCTCATCGCGGGTCACAGGCTCCCTACGGAGAAGAAAGTGCTGGACTAAGAGCTGCCCTCTCCCAGGCAGAGAAAGGGGTCAGGGAGCCTGGGCGATGGCCCTCCCCCCTCCCTGGTGACAGCTGGGAGCTCACCTGAAAGGCCAGCTGAAGCGGTACTTCACCAGCTTGTGGAGGATCTCTTCACACTTCTGCAGCTCCAGGCTCTGCCTGCGGGAGCTCCGCTTGGTTTGAAGTATCTGGCACCAAAGACAGATGACATATTGTTACAAATAGGGGAGGGAGGGGACAGGGCAGAGGGCATGTCAGCTGTGAGAGAAGAAAGCGAAGGAGCAGGGCAAACAGCAAGTTCAATCATCGTCTGGGTCGGGAATTCCAGTCGGAGCCCCCTCAGCACAGGAAGCAGCAGCCCCATCAGCCCATGGGCCCCATCCTCCCTGGGGAATGCTGGCCACAGCAGCACAGGGCAGACGGCAGCTGGCGCATGAGTGGCAGTAGTTGACTAGAAAGGGCCCCTGGTCTTGAGAGCAGAGGACCCAGGGATGGGGCTACTCAAGGACAGTACCCAGACCACCTGCAGCCACTTCTGGGGGGTGGGGGTGGTTCTGAGACTGAGCTCGTCCACTACAGGCCTGTGGAACCACGGCCTCAGCCGCCCTGGAGAAGGGGGCGGGTCTCTCCCAGGAAGCCCCAGACAACTGGGGCTGAAGGGAGTCAGCAGACGTCTCCATGGGAGACTCCTTTATACCCTCATCTCCCTAACGACTTGCTCTATGGCATCATCAGCCCCAACCTGATCTGTGGAAACAAGCACGCTTTTAGGAGCCTCTTTTTGGCCTTTAAGCTGCAAGGGAAATCTCAGGCAAAGGCATGGGATTCCGGCTGAGGGGGTGGGGGTGCCTGAGTCCCTCCCCGAACAACTGTCAGCAGGAGACCCAACAGCAGGCGAAGCGCCAGCATTGCTGACATTCCCACCGCATCCACCCAGCCCCTTTGAGCCCACTGGAGACACAGGGGACTATTTTAGAAGCCTGACAAGCTGCGGCTGCCTGCTCGCTAAAGGAGATGGGATTTGCAGGCTAGCAGGGGATGCCTGACATAGCTGTTCTTGGAGGGCCTGGGTCTCTGTCTGCTCACAGACCTACCCTTATCAGCCTCCAAAGGGGGTGAGGAGTGGGGGAAGCTCCCACCTGTTGCCTAATGGCTTCCTCGTGCAGGGCGAGGGATGGGATGGGGGTGAGAAACCAAAAAGCAGGAAGCCGAGAGCTCAGTCTTACTAGTTCATCCACCTCGGCGGCGTCATCGACAGGAGGTGCCTTCAGCCGAGACCTCCGAGCAGGATGCGGCTTCTTCCCAGGCCGCCGGCCAGGCCGTGCTACCAGAGGGGTGACACTCTGCTTGCCCCGAATGGTCCTCCGAGGTCTCACTGAATGAAAAATGGGATTCAGAGTAGAACAGCTGAGGAGGCCGGGAGCATGTTCGTGGGTGAGTGGGGAGCAGGGGCCATCCGACAAGGTGACTTCTTGTGGTCAGTTCTGGATGACATTCCTCCTGTCTGCCTCAAAGGGCATGGGAGCTACATGCCACCCCTTCCAGAAGCAGCAGCAAGAAAGGGGGACTGGCTATCTTCTTCAACTCCCAAGGGTCTGTAACAGGCATTCAGAAACCCATTGCCTTTAGGGGACCCTCCAGCTATGCCCAGAAACGAGGGCCCTGCAGGAGTCGCTGCACACGGAGACAGAAGAGGCTGGGGACACAGGGTGTCATCATGTCCTCACTCCCAAAGGAGCCTACACGGACCCAGGCTTTCCACAGAAAGGCTCACACTTCCATGAGGCCTCCTGTCTCTCTCGCTGGACCCCATGGGGGGTTGGAGGAGTCTTGCTTTCTTGTCGGTCTAGTCAATGGTTTAGGGTGCTTCTAGAGCAGCCCTGCCCAGACCCCCTAAGAGGATGTATGGCCGCTGCCTCGGCTCTGAGTGCCTGAGCTCACACCAGATGCTGATGGCAGGTATGTCAACACTGCTCAGCACGAGCTCTCAAAGAATTCTGACTTCTCCACTGACAGCTGCCTGGACTTTGTCTCGCTAACTCTGGAAAGGGGGAGGCCAGACTGGCCAGAGATCAGGGCATGGAGGGGCCACAGGTCTAGACTCAATCGCTCATGTTTCACCAACCAGGCACACCGTTCTGCTATTTCAGGGTCCCTCACTCAAGACTAGTGAGAGAGAAAGAGATGCCAATGCCAAGAATGGAACTTGGGCTGCCCTTGAGGGTCTGCCCCATGGAGCCATCTCCTTGGTGAACTAAAAAAGGGTTCTGAAGTCCCAAACACCTCCGAGACACTTCTGGCTGGAGGGGCCTTGGAAACCTGGAGAGGAAAAACACACTGGAAAGAGCAACAGAGAGTGAGAAGTGAAAGGAGTCAGGGTGTTGGTCTACTCGGCATCTGACGTCAAATGGGATCCAGACCATGAATGTGGCTGGTGGGTAAGGGCTTCCTACTGACTGCCTGTCCACTTGTCCTGGGACACGTGAGGACTCATGAACAAACACAAGGGAGGCCTCACAGAAACGGAGGAAATTACGCCGGGATTGGTGGTCTCTTTTCTCCTTACCTACAAAGAAGGCGGTTTTGTAAAGAGTGAGGCTGTTTAAAAAAAAGAAAGATGATGGGACTTTAAGTTTACCCACCAAGATGTATGAGTCCACGAAGTGAGCCTACATGACAAGGTCTCCCTTTTGTCCTACTGGCATCCAGTAAGACAGAGTCTGAACCTACCTAAAGAGATAATGCCTACTCCATGGGGAAAAGGAGACCTGGTGGCATGATCACCTAAGTGTCAGTAGTTCAAACCCACCAGCGGCTCCAAGAGAGAAAAATGAGGCTATTTCCTCCTGTAAAGATCCACAGCGTTGCGAACCCTATACAGGGGTCATTATGAGCCCACATAGACAGGCTAGCACTGAGTTTGTTTTGGGTTCAAATCATAGGAAAACCAGCCTTCTCGTTTCAAACCAGCCCATCGTCATGGTGAGCCCAGGGAGAGGCCATCAGTGTCTGAAGAGAAGATGTCCCTGAGAGCTCTGCCAAGAGTACAGCTGCCCACTCTTGACCGGCAATTCCCTGCCCCTCGGGGCCTAAAACGGCAGCCCCGCTGCTGTGGTTCTTCTGTGGCCCAAACACCGCCAGATCTCAGACCCGGTGGGTCTGCCACCGCTTGATGCTTGGGGACCAAGCCAACTTCCTACTTAGGAGGGTAGTTAAGTGGCATCTCATAAAACCACTTTGAAGACATGACAGCTGACCTACAGCCACAACATGCCGGGGACTGGGAAGACAGGAAAATGGCAACACTGATTCATCTGGTGCCAACCTAGCTGCCCGGCTGTCAGCCTCGAAGTCTGTAGGGGTAACTATGAAGGCAAATGGAATACTTACATCGCAACCCTGCCACCTCATAATCTTCCTCCTCCTCCTCCTCTTCCTCCTCCTCTTCTTCCTCTGAGTCGCTCTCCTCATCTTCACTGTCCTCAGTGGCAGACTCTTCAGTGTAATTCCTGTGACAAGGAAAAAGCACATAAGCCAATGGTTCTAGCCAAAAGTGGCCCCGGAGATGGCCGAAGTTCTTTCTACAAGGTTCTGGGCAACTTTTCTATCTTCACAGACTACATACATCTGATAATTAGCAGGGGGGTGGGTTGGGGTCTGAATTCAGGCCAGGACACAAGAAATAAAATTAAAATCTAAGCTTCAACAGCCCAGCTCTCTTCACAAGACCCAGATCACGCAAATAAGACAGCAATGGCAACAGATATCACGACCTGTGATTCAAACTCAACCTCTGGGCCCTGAAACAATTCAAAACACTAATCCTTTTGTCTCAGTAAAAAGCCAGATAATGTAACACTTCAGGTATTAAAAGGTGTCCCCAACTCCGGGGTGGACAAAGGATAAACAGAGCCCAGACAGGTGTTAACTCCACCTTAATGGCCCCCTTCCAAGAGCTGAAACAGCTTGCAGATGATTGTACCATCAAAGCCATGGTAATCCCAGCTCAGAACAGCTGGTCCAAAGCCCCGCCACAGCAAAGCAGCGTGCCTCATGTCAGTGTGGCTGGAACGGAGAAATGCCCTAGTAAAACTGTTGGGGAGGGAAGGGGTCAGGATCAAACAGCTCAGCCCTTGAAAAGAAAGCCCAAGTCAGATAGCCTATTTGTGTTGCCCTCTCACCGCCTCACAGGTCAGCATGCAGAATGGGGCACACAGGAGGTGGCTCCTCTCTACAAGACCCCAAGACCCAATACTTACTAGGCATGGTGGGGAAGGTTGCAGGGACTAGCAAGGTAACAACCAGTATGAAAAAAGAAAATGCTCTGAAATCGACTGTGGTGGTGATCAAACAACTCTTGTATGATATATAAACTATATGCCAACAAAACTATTAAAAGGGGGAAGGGAGGGCACCTACATTTGGCCTTTCTGGAGTTAAGGTGTGTTTTAAATAAAGAGTCCTGTCTTTTTTTTTTTTTTTTAAGTCACTTTTTCTTTTTTTCTTTTAAGTTTTAATTTTATTTTATTGGGAGCTCTTACGTCTCTTTTCACAATCCATACACATATTCATTTTGTCAAATATATCTGTACATATGTTGCCATCATCTTTTTCAAGACATTTTCTTTCTACTTCAGCCCCTGGGATCAGCTCATTTTTCCTTCAGCCCCCACCCACCCTGCCCTCCCCTCCCCCATGCCCCCTTGACAATTTATACATTCTTCCCTTTTTTTTCTTCATGTCTTACACTGACTGCTGCCTCATTTCACCCCTTTTCTGTTTTCTGTCCCCCAGGGATTGGGGCCATACGTTGATCACTGTGATCACTTACACTTTACTCCACCCAACCCTTTACCCTCCTAGTATCGCTGCTCCCCTTATTGGTCCTGAGGGGTTTATCTGTTCTGGATTCCATGTGTTGCGAGCTCTTATCTGTACCAGTACACATATTCTGGTCTAGCCAGATTTGTAAAACAGAACTGAGGTCATGGTGGGGGGGGGGGAAGCATTAAAGAACAAGAGGACGGTTGTGTATTTCATCAGCGCTACACTGCAACCTGACTGGTCTTCTCTTCCTTGTGGCCGTTCTGACAGGGGGTGTCCAGCTGATTACTGATGGGCTTTGGGTCTCCACTCCGCGCCCCTCCTCATTTCCATTGATATGCTTTTTGTTTGTTTTGTTTTGGGTCTTTGATGCCTGATACCTGATCCCATCGACACCTCATGATCACACAGGCTGACATGCTTCTTCCATGTGGGCTTTGCTTCTGAGTTAGATGGCCACTTGTGTATCTTCAAGCTTTGAAGATCCCATACGCTATATCTTTTGATAGCCAGGCACCATCAGCTTTCTTCACCACATTCGCTTATGCACCCATTTGTCTTCAGCGATCGTGTCAGGGAGGTTGAACATCACAAAGTGACATATTAGTAGAACAAATTGTTCTTGTGTTTAGGGAGTACTTGAGTGGAGGCCCAATGTCCATCTGCTACCGTTAATACTTCATAAATAATTATATGTAATCTAAAAATTGAAGACGAGGAGGGCATAGGATGCGCTTGGGGGGGCTTGATCAAGGGCAATGTAGCTGAGAGGAATTACCAAAACTCGAATGAAGGCCAAACATGATAGCGGGAAGGGAGGAAGGTAAAAGGAAATAGAGGAAAGAACTGGGAGGCATAGGACATTTACAGAAGTCCAAACACAGGCATGTACATATATAATACATTTATATACAATGACAGGAGAATAGAGATATGGACATATATTTATTTATCGAGTCCTTTCATTTCTCAAGCCACTCACCACCTCGCTGGGTAGGCAGTCGTGGACAAACCCATCCTAAAAGCAGGGTGCAGCCACACTGCTGAGAAATCACCAGCTCAGGTAGAAACAGGGGAACAACTCATTCTGAGAATGTTTCAAAAAGGGAGTGACGTTTCAGCTGGGCTGTGGAGTCCTAAGAGACAAATTCCCCCATAGGTGCAAGGGTTCGGGGGCACTGGACACTACTGAGAGGTCTCAAGCTCACTGGAACCCAGAGGAGGAACAATTCATTCTAAACACGCTACCAGAAAAGTAGTGAAATGTCAGTGGTGCATGGGCAGCTACGCGTTCGGTAGTAAGGATTTGACCCCTCCGTCAGAAATACCTGGGTAATACTGCTGGGGTAGGGGGTGGAGTGGGGGGTGTTATCAAACATCAAGCCAGGGTGCCTACGTGCTGCCCTCCCTTGCACCACCTCACAGCCACATGGAGAGTGGGGCATTTCCTTGGCAAATTTAGCAGGGAGAGGATGCAAAACCACCACAAACAACAAAATAGTGGCCAGTGTGGAAACAAAAGGCAAAATAACTTCTGGAAAGACACAATATGTAAGTGGCAGCAGACCCAGCCAAGGCAACATTTAGCCCAAATTAAATTAGCCACAGCGCTCTGAGCTCCTACGGTGACCCTTGCAATGATCAGACTCTCTGGCCAAAAGATGGTCTCAGAGCCCCTTACACTTGCCCTGTCGGAATAACTGACGCTCACTGATAAGAGTGACTTACTCAGTGTTAAGAGGAAAAGGTCTCACCTGCCCCGGGAGTTGCGCCTGGCGGTAGCAGGCTGGCAGGCTGGGCACTGCCACTCGCCATCTGGAACTTCATAGAGGGCCGGCCGAAGACAGAACAGGTGGAAGGCTTTATTGCACTCGTCACACAGGATCAGTTTGTCATCCTCACCTGCACAGAGGTAAATACACACGGCCCCGTCAGAAGTGTGACTCCAGCAATGAGTTGTAAGAGAGAGCGGCTCCCCTTCAATCAGGCTCAAGAAAGCAAACAGTACAACAGCCCAGCACACACCCGCCCTGGCAAAACCCCAAGAACCCTTCTGAAAGGACAGGTAGCACAAACTGAGCTTGAATGGCAGGCACCGGGGGATCAGCTGTCCTGACTCGAAACCCCCTAGATCTGCTCTGCCAAGGCGGTTCAAGACCATTAGGAGATTCATTGGGAGGTTACAAAATCCAAAGGACAGAAGGACATGCTGCTTACGCTCCTCACCTGCCAAGAGCTGCACCCCCTATGAGGAGTACAGTGCTGCCCTTCCTCCTCCCCCCTCCTCAGCACCTCCAATGTTTCTCCAGCTGTCAAGAGACCTCTCACCGACCAGACAGGGTCGCTCTTCCACTTCCCCCTTCCTCCAAGAGGGGCTTTTACAGTAGCTGAATGTTTCTTCATAGGATTTCCATTCTTGGTAATGTAACCACTGCCTAATTCTCAATGAACAGTGAGCACTGAGCAGTCAGTCCCTGGGGAGTTGGCAGCAATAGCGCCATCCTCCCCCATAGACTCAGGACAACCTGGCTCTATGTGCTGGTGGGAAGACAGGACCTCCAACCAAGTCTTCCCCACCGAGCACGAGGACACACTCCTGTCAGCCAGTCCTGTCTTACTTCACAGATGCCTACAGATCAAGCTCTGAGATCAGATGCACTAAGTCTGTTTCTGTTGAAAAGGAAAGCTTGTGGCCTGTCAGAAGGATTGCCCAGGCTGCCCCATACAGGCTTCTGGGAGCAGGAAGAGCCCGCTCCTCCACATGTGCATGGGAGCAACTCCAGCGCCCCCTTACCTTTCTTTCGGCAAACTTTGCACCGAGCATTTTCTGCTGACATATCCCACTTGATACAGGCATCAAGCATGCCAAGTAGAACATGCATTCTAGAAAAGGTCTGAGCTTCTCGGATTGCTGCCTTCCATTTTTCTAGTGCAGATGCAACCTAGACAGAGAACAGATTGGGCAAGCATTACAACAATGACCTTGAAGACATGAAATGGGGATTCTTCTAAAACTAGATGTGGATGAGGCAGATCCCTTAGCACAGCTCCCCCCCAGAGCCCCTAAAATCTAACTCCTTTATTGTTACAGAAGACAGCAAGGCTCTGAATGGAGGGGCACACGTCAAGGGACTTGGACAGAGCTGGGAGTGGGAGGTGTCTCTTCTAATAAAATTCACTTAAAGATTCAGGCTGTTTAGAGCAAGAGTAATGCAACAAGGCCACATGGCTGAGAAAGCTCTGCTTCCTGCACGTCACTGCCACCCCAGAGCAGACCCAGGAGTCCTGAGCAGTACCTACGAGCCACTTTATGACTCAGTCAGGTACAGGCCTTTGACACAAAGCACTACTCTTGACTATGCTATAGCACTCAATTTTTTTAAAACACGGGGAGTTAATACATATAACGTTTAATCACATCAAACAGTATCGTAAAATTACTACCAATCAGGCTCCAAGCATTTTTTTCCTTCCCTGCCTCCTACACATTGGCTCCCTTATACTCGTGAGCATCCCACCCCTACCAAATTCTAATGAAAATGGAAACTTGAAAGTTCTGCTGGATGCACCATTTTCTTCCATCAGAAAATTTCAAAGGTAAATGCCACCCTTTCCACTAAAAAAGACACTCTAAGGCACTTTGTTCCACAGAAGTGACATTGGGGGTTAACTGATTTGTCTGACTGTCAGTCAGAAGGACACTGTTTGGTGTTTTCAAAGCATTTCTGATCTACGGACCAGGCACCCAGCGTGGCTGAAGGGGAACATGAAGACAGACAGGTGAAGCACAAGCATCACATAGCCACTGTGAGCACACGGACGCAGGCTGCCCAGCTGGCTCCTCACACTAACCATGGCCTGAGCGGCCACCTTCACACCCTGGCTCCTCCTGCCAACAGATGTACCACCAGCAGCACCACTGCCCTGCCCTAGGCAGCCTACGGTGACCAAGCAGAGGTCTCTACGAAAAACAGACCTGCTCACCATGTACTCTTCTGTAGGGCGGCCAGTCAGCAGCTGAACGCTTAACCTCCAGCTGTCAGGACATAGCCTTCCTCTGAGAGAACACCAGTATCCTGGAAGCACGGACTTCCAGCTAGAGTGACCAAGGGGCAGAGCGAGCTCTGGTAGTCCAGATGCTGGGTTCCAAGCCTAATCCTAGTGAGAGGAGATAAGCCTCTCTGGCAGGCAGCGCCATCTATAGATGTTCTATTTTAAGAGTAACCAAATCTTTCCAGTGGAAAATAAACTGAAGAATTTTAGGTTCACAGTGCTTAGAGAATTTATTGAGAATACTTCAAAAATAGTAGCTACAAATGGGCTTTGTTGTCCTCTAGTGGACAATCAGAGGTACTGAATACAAGTATTCAAGAAAATCACCTACACACAAAACTTTTTTTTTTTTAATCAATTTATTGGGGCTCATAAAATTCATCACAATACATAGATCAATTGTGTAGAGCACATCTATTCATTTGTTGCCTTCATCATTCCCAAAATTCACTTGCCTCTTGGGTTCCCGGAATCAGCTCATTTTCCTTTTCCCCCCCTCCCACACAAAACTTTTTACTCTTATTAATTGCACAAATTAAGCACTAAGTATTGCATCTGGCCAGATGGATTTTTTTAATAGAAGAGATTCTATAAATAAGCTAAGTACTTAACCCCCTGGAGATATAACTTATATATTATAAAGTTCCTCTTGGGAAAAGAAAAAACAAATCATAGCAACCATAGAGTTTCTAAGACTAAATCTTTATGGGGCTGAATGCCCCTTCAGCCATTCCCTACTTTGGCAGTTAGGATTAGTGCTTCGATAAACATTCGATATCATCATCTGACACAGAAAGACAGCTCAGAGCCATTCAAAGTTTGCCCTAATCTAGGACTCCAGGTCCCCAATTCAACACTCTTCAATCCCAACACCCTGGATAACAGCCAGCCTCCCGCTAGACCAGCGATTCTTAACCTGTGGTCTCAACACCTTTGGGGGTCGGACGACCCTTTCACAGGGGTCACACAATTCATAACAGTAGCAAAATGACAGTTATGAAATAGCAACGAAAATAATTTTATGGTTGGGGGTCACCACAACATGAGGAACTATATTAAAGGGTCGCAGCATTAGGAAGGTTGAGAACCACTGCACTAGACCCAGAGTCACCCACTTAGATCAAACCAGTTGAGACTTGACCCAGCCTCTACTTTTAAGGGCCAAAACTCCAGATTTGGACAAAAATATACCTGGTCTCCCCATTGCACAAAACACCAAGCTACCCAGGGAATATGAGAGAAACCCCCCCCCACACACACACTCTCTCTCTCTCATAGTTAGATCAGTACTAATGAAACCACACCCACAGCTGCAGAATGAGTTTGGGGCCCTCAGCAAGGGGCGATGCAGTGACACTGCCCTGCACTGCTGCTGGGACGCTCACCAGCAGTCCCAGTGGAACCCTAGAATCCTCTAGCGCAGTGGTTCTCTACCTGTGGGCCTCGACTCCTTCAGGGGTCGAACCACCTGTTCACAGATGGTCTTAGGAACTGAGACACCATCTCCAGGCGGGTCCACCTCCATGCAGATACGCCCACTTCTGAGTACCTGGCGTGAAGAATGTTACCCATGCTATACCATGCTTAAAGATAAAATTTCATTGATTTGTAACTAGAAATAAATATTCACAATATAGAATGACATCTTGTTTTTGTGATGAATCACGATGCTTGAATGATGTTCAATTTGTAACAATGAAAATATATCCTGCATAGCAGATATTTACATGACGATCCATTACAGTTATAAAGTAGCAACGAAAATAATTTTATGGTTGGGGGTCACCACAACATGAGGAACTGTATAAAAGGGTTACGGCATTAGGAAGGTTGAGAACCACTGCTCTAGCACAACATGTAAATAAATAAAGTCAGCCCCTTGTTCCCAAGTCCATACACCAGGACAGGAGAGCCAGTAGTCCGTGCACTCCTTAGCTTAAGGGAAAGGCGATACTGTTATCTTGGCCGGGCTGTCCCGGGCTTTCAGATTACATTCCTGCCCAAAAGAAAGTTTAAAATGGAAAAAGAGATCATCGGGTTGTCAGGACAAATGCAACCAAAGTAAACCAGAATCAAACAAAACCCAGGATTTGGCCAATTTCTACAGCACCTTCCCCATTCAGTGCAAAGGAAATAAGCTTTCACTATTTAGAGTCATCAACTACTACAAAAGAGGGATTTGCGATAATCTACTTTTACAAATAAGGAAACTGAAGCCCAGATTAGAATTGGCGTAAAATCATACAATCACCGGTTGAAAGACGCTGGGCTCTTGCCAAGTGGAAACCTTCAAAACAAAGCAAAGTGGAAATTTTCAGACGATGGCAAGGCTGACCTTTGATGGGAGCTTGTAAAGCATAAGGCCATTTTAATGTAGGACACTGTGGAACAACTTAGTAGGCAATCTAATTGATTTTCCAAGAAACTTTTTCCATGCGTCCCATGAATGCCTGGGCCCCAAGGTTAAGCCTGCAAAGTATTCGCATTTTCCTTCCCAAACAGTGCAAGAATCAAGCCTCACCTGGAAGGCTATAAAGAGGTCTCGTCATTGTGAAGCGGAGGGTTCAGAAAGAACTTCATGAGGATTCTACAGCTACTGGTTCTCACTGAGAAGGAAAAGAAACAGCCAAGGACAGCTGTGACTGTGAGAGAGGATGTCAAGGAGGAGGCTCCTCTGTACTGTACTGAAATGAAAGCAAAACCTCAGGAGGCCCAACAAGGTGGGAAATCACATCTACTGAGAACAGACAGCAAGAGGACAGTGAACCAACTAATGCCCAAGAAGACTATCTAGGTGCTGCGCAACCAGGAAGAACACAGAATGTAATAGCCCTGATAGCCAAGCTAAACAGGTAACACATGAGAAGACAACCACCAGCCAGGAAGCGTCGGGACATAACAGAGATGCAAAAATCCAAAACTAAATACCAGCAAAACAGAACCTACAGCATAACAGCATACACATGTCCACGTGGCATCTTCCACGCATGCATAAGAGTATATACGTACTCTCGATTCAAAAACAAACAAAAACCTACAAAATGCATAAAAAACAAAACAAAAGAAAAACCAATCAACACAATATACTTCATCAATACAACGACAGAATCATCTCTATAAGATGCAAAATAAAGCATTTGGTAAAGCTCAACATTCCTTCTTAATGAAAAACCTCAAGACAGGAATAGAAGTTCTTCCACAGAATTCAGGGTATTCATAAGGAACGTCAACAATCACAATAGTTCCCCTTGAAACAAGACAAGTGGGAGGTATTGGGGAAGAGGGCGTGCCTCACTCTCACAGCTTCTACTTAGTATTACATTATAAGTCCTAGCCATAGTAATAACCCCCCCAAAAAAAGGGTATCTAGACTGGGAAAAAAGTAAATAATCTCTATTCATGGATGGCATGACCCTATATATGGGAAACACAAAAACATGAAATAAAAGTCACTAGAGCTTTTGCAAAGCATAAAGTCAACAGAAGTTCACTGGGCTTATACCAGCTGTAAGAAATCTGAAAGGGGAGTTATTAAGGAAATGATTCTATTTACAGCAGCATCTAAGAGAATAAAATACTTAGCAATAAATTTAATCAGGGACGTGAAAGCGTATTTATAAAGTGGAAATTGTTAAATGTTGCTGTGATTTTAGTAAATAGGAAGATGTTCCATGTTGATAGATTGTTGCGATGTCAATCCTACCTAAAGCAATCTATACTATCAACATCATCTCAAATCAAAATTCGAACAACCTTCTTGGACAGTCAGGAATCAGAGGAAGTGGATATAGGATGTGTGGATAAACTGTCTCCGTGAAGTCTGGATCATTATAAACATTCAGATAAAAGATTTGATAGAAGAATCCCAAACAAAAAGGGGGAAACGCAGTACAGTATTTCTTTTTTTAAATGTAGCAGGGTTTTTTTTAATTATTAAATAATCATTTTGTTAGGGGCTCATACAACTCATCACAATCTGCATATACGTCACTCGTGTCCAGCACATTAGTACATATGTTGACTTCATCATTCTCACAGCACCCGCTTTCCACCCGAGCTCTTGGTGTCAGCTCATTTTTCCCCGCCTCCCCCTTCCCCCCAACCCTTGATAATTTATAATTATTAGTATTTTATCATATCTTCAGCACAGTATTTCAAATGCTATAGGCTCCAGTCTTTGAGCTGGAGGAGTCCCTGAAATTATTGCCCTGAGGTAACACTTAAACCAAAAGTATTCCCCAAAGTCTTCTTAAAAGTGAGCAATACCCAGTGCTTTCAAGTCGAGGGCAACTCACAGCACTGCTCTATAGGGTTTCTGAGAAGGTTCATTTTCACGGGAGCAGACAACCGCAGAGTAGCTGGCGGTGCACACTGCAGACCATGAAGTCGCCAGTCCAGTGCTTCTCCTGCAGTGCCAGGCGGGCTGGAACTGCTGTTCAGCTTTAACTAAAGCATCTGCTCTGAGCATTGTGCTCCTTTGAGAACAATCTACAGGGAATCCAAGTCAACACAGCAACTGTGAAGATTACACAGGACCCTCAATGGGCAGTGAGGTGGTGGTGATGGAGAGGGTGAGGGCACAGCTAAAGAAAAAGGCACTGAAATGTGCCTGTAAATGTGAAAATAGCTGAAATTGGTGTTATGTTGTCCTGGGTATATTTCTCAGTAACAAAGTACAATTTAAAGAAGGAAAGAAGAAAAATCCCAACAGCACTTTCCGGAAAAAAAGGAGAAAAAAAAAATTCAATCTTCAATGTTATACACAAAATGGCAAGAGATGACTAAATTAGAAAAAAATCAATGTTGAAAAACCAGGACAAAGGAGGAGGGCTGACATGTGCTGATTTTTAAATCTATCATGCAGCTCCTAGTATAACAACCGACACACAAACCAATGGAATGAGAACTGTAAATCCAGAAATAAACCAGTAGAGCTATGGCCACCTGACTCTTGACACAGGTGCTAAGTGCATGCAGTGGGGGATTAAAGAGTCTCTTTAATGATGGTACTTGGGAAATTAGAAATAAATGCATGCCATACATCACACACACAAAGAAAGTGAAAATGTACTTAAACCAACTGTGAAAACTAGAACAATACAATGTTCATCCAAAAGACGTTGACAGTGCTATTGGGCCTCCCTTTTAACAATGAATTAACACTGGAGACACAGTGTAGGAATCCCGCCCAATCTGATCCCACCACACCAGGGTGAAGCACTAAGGGCATGCAACAGAGCAGCAAGGGGAGCAAAGTGAGAAAGTCCCCAGGGAATACCAAAAATAGATTTTGGGGCCAGGGCTTGGCATCCCAACAAACTCAACTGGAAAACACTCCTAAAGGCCAACAAACAGCCTTGAACTAACTACAAGCTTTTCTTTTTTGTTGTGTTGTTTTGGTTTTTGTCATTAGCTTGTTGTTGTTTAGTTTTCTTTTGTTGCTTGGTTTTGCTCTGTCTTGTTTTTGTGCATGTTTTATCTCTGCAGGTCTGTCTAAATAAGACAGGCTGGATGAACAATCTGGAGGAGAAAACAATGGGACAGACAGTTCCGCGGGGACATGGGAGAGGGGGAGGTGGGGGGAAAGGTAGTGGTGTTAACAAACCCAGGGACACGGGAACAAGTGATCCAAATGGGTGGTGAGGAGGGTGTAGGAGGCCTGGTAGGGTATGACCAAGGGTAATGTAACCAAGAGGAAGTATTGAAACCCTAATGAAGGCTGAACATGATAGTAGGACAAGAAGAAAGTAAAAGGAAATAAAGGAAAGAGCTAGGAGGTAAAGGGCATTTATAGAGGTCTAAATAAAGGCATGTACATATGTAAATATATTTATATATGAGGATGTGGAACTAGATCTATGTGCATATATGTATAAGTTTAATATTAAGGTAGCAGATGGACATTGGGCCTCCACTCAAGTACCCCCTCAATGCAAGAATACTTTGTTCTATTAAACTAGCATTCCATGATGCTCACCTTCCCAACACAATCACTGAAGACAAAGCAGGTGCATAAGCAAATGTGGTGAAAGCTGATGGTGCCTGACTATCAAAAGATAGTGTCTGGGATCTTAAAGGCTTGAAGGTAAACAAGTGGTCATCTAGCTGAGAAGCAACAAAGCCCACATGGAAGAAGCACACCATCCTGTGTAATCACGAGGTGCCGAAAGGATCAGTTACCAGTTATCAAAGAACAAAAAAATCTTATCACTGTGTGCTCGCCTCTGATATAATCACTGAAGACAAATGGGTGCATAAGCAAATGTGGCGAAGAAAGCTGATGATACCCAGAGAGTGGAGGGAGGTGGGGTGGAAAGGGGGAACCCATTACAAGGATCTACATATAACATCCTCCCTGGGGGACGGAAAACAGAAAGATGGGTAAAGGGAGAAGTTGGACAGGGCAAGATATGACAAAATAATAATTTATAAATTATCTAGGGTTTATGGGGGGGGGGTATGAGGAGATGATGCCAGGGGCTTAAGCGGAGAGCAAATGTTTTGAGGATGATGAGGGCAGTGAATGTACAAATGTGCTTTACACAATTGAAGTATGTATGGACTGTGATTGTGATAAGAGTTGTATGAGCCCCTATAAAAATGAATAAAAAAACAAAAAACAATGAATTACATACTAGAACAACAAAAGCACAAATAGCAAAATAATAAATAAATGGGACTTCATAAAAATACTTTTGTTCATCAAATGACTACAAAAAAGTAAAAAGACAAGTTACCATCTGGGAAAATATGTTCAGAAACAGATATCCAGCAAGAATTTAATAACCAAAAAATATATAAAACTTTAATAATTTACCAAAAAGACAAATAACTCTATCCTAATAAAAGACATTTCCCCAAAGAGCACATGCCAGGAGGCCCAGCATCACTTGCCATCAGAGGTAAACCACAATCACAACGAGAGTCCGTCTCACTTGGTAGAACTGCCTCTGTGAGTTTCTAAGACAGTAAGTAACTCAGGGGAGTGGAAAACCTTCTACCTTCAAAGAGCACCTGGTGGTTTCAAAACCCTGGCCTTGCAGCTAGCAGCCTACAGTATAACCACTCGGCCACCAGGGCTCCTTAGGACCATGCAAATAAGGACATGTCTGAGTCTGGAACCCTAATGAGGTAGCCATTTTGCTTTCCCACTAGGTTTGGGGAGCCTATAAAAGAGGTGAAAGGGGCCACTGCACCAACGACCAGAGATGGGCGTGGAGACCATCTTTTGGCCCAGAGTGCTGAACCTCCTAGACACGCAGGACAGAGAGCTTCCAACACTGGTCAACGAAAAGGCTCACACCAGAAGCAAGTGGCAGCACGGTAGGCAGAGTTTCGTCAGAGAAATGACGGCAGCAGAAGAGGAGATTGCACAGGGCACCGCGGGAAGAGCTGAGAGCGGTTCTTTGGACACCAAGCTTTCTGGTGGAGTAGGCTACCTCCCAGAGCTAAAGAAAGTGCTTTATTAACACTTGCCCAGGAGGGCCACACCCAGCCCCAGGTAGAGGCAGAGGTCAAGGCCACAGAATCAAGGCTGAGCATGCAGGGCCCAGGGGCCACAGCCCAAAGGAAGTTGACCTGACTGAAGAAGGAACAAGGCTGCAATTAAGATTGGTGTACAAAAAGAAAAAAGGGGAGGGGGTGAGAAGAACCGTGTTCAAAGATCTGTTTTTCGAGTCTCTGCTTTCAAGTCTCTTGTGCACACACCATAGAACAGAATTGTATGTGCACACACCATAGAACAGAATTAATGTGCACACACCACAGAACAGAATTAATGTGCACACACCACAGAACAGAATTAATGTGCACACACCACAGAACAGAATTAATGTGCACACACCATAGAACAGAATTAATGTGCACACACCATAGAACAGAATTGTATGTGCA